GGTTTGAATCCTACTTAAAGGACAGAAACAGCTTTGTTTCTATAGGTAAATACACATCTGAGTTGACAAATATGACATGTGGGGTTCCTCAAGGCTCCATCTTGGGGCCTCTTCTCTTTAACATCTACATGCTACCACTGGCTCAGATAATGAAAAACAACAAAATAAGTTACCATAGCTATGCGGATGACACCCAAATTTACATAACCACTTCACCAGGAGACTATGCTCCAATTCAAACACTGAGTAAGAGCATTGAACAAATCAATGACTGGATGAGTCAGAACTTTCTCCAATTAAACAAAGATAAAACTGAGGTAATGGTTTTTGGAGCCAATGCAGAATGTATAAAAGTTAGCGCTGAGCTTCAGTCTGCAATGTTCAAAACAACAGATAAAGCCAGAAATCTAGGTGTAGTCATGGACTCTGACCTGAGTTTCAACAGTCACATTAAAATAATTACTAAATCAGCCTACTATCACCTAAAGAACATATCTACAGTAGGATTAAAAGACTAATGTCACAGCAGGATTTGGAAAGACTTGTCCATGCTTTTATCTTCAGTAGACTGGACTACTGCAATGGTGTCTTTACAGGTCTCACTAAAAAATCTATTAGAAAGCTGCAGCTGATTCAGAACGCTGCTGCTCGAGTCCTCACTAACACTAAGAAAGTGGATCACATCACTCCTGTTCTGAAGTCTTTACACTGGCTTCCTGTGTGTCAAAGAATAGATTTCAAAATACTGCTGCTGGTTTATAAAGCATTGAATGGTTTAGGCCCAAAATACATTTCTGATCTACTGCTAAATTATGAACCATCCAGAACTCTCAGGTCTTCAGGGACTGGTCAGCTTTCTGTCCCCAGAGTCAGAACTAAACATGGAGAAGCAGCGTTCAGTTATTATGCTCCAAATATCTGGAACAAACTCCCAGAAACCTGCAGGTCCGCTGCAACTCTTACTACTTTTAAATCCAGGCTGAAGACTTATCTTTTTGCCGCTGCTTTTAATTGAAACTGAGCGGTTGTGTTTCATTTTTGGTTAATGAACATTTGGGGCTAGTAACCCCAGGGAATCAGTGTCTGGGGACTTTGTCCTGGCTGGTTTTCTCTGTGTATGCTGCTCGGGACGTATGTGCCATACAAGCGTACACAGCTCATGTTCGGAGAAACCTTAAAGGTGGGGTAGGTAAGTTTGAGAAACCGGCTCGAGATACACTTTTTGTTATATTCCATGGAATGCTCTTAACATCCCGATAGCAATGAATATCTTAAGTGCTTTGACAAAAAATCCATAAAAAAATGTCATCTGTGGAAGCCGTAGTACTGTAAAAAGCACGACCAATCATTTTAGCCGGCCCGGCTAAAATAACTGGATGGCCTACCTGCCTGTCAGCCTTCCATCTGTGCACAAACTTATCTTGTCCCCTCATTGGTCATGTGCGCGTTCGTGTGTGTTGGAGGAGGGGCTCTGTAAGGAAGTGGCAGATTTTCTCCGGCTGTGTATTTTCAAATTCTAGCGATCTCGAGCTGGTTTCTCCAAAATTACCTACCCCACCTTTAACCTGTTTCACGCCTTCCCCCCGGTACCGGGCGGATAAACGCGTCATTTGCAGGAAACAACGTCTAAGGAATCTTAATATTGAATAAAACTATGAATGTGTTATATCCATGTAACGGGAAGAAACTCAGCTAACTGATCTTTTTAAAAAAAAAAATTCAAAAAAAACCCACAATACTAGCACTCAGCCTCTGAATTAGCCTCGATCGAAAAAACGGGACCGACAAAGGCACATAAACTCACTCAGAACTCCCTTATTACTTATCCTAGATGCACAACCAAACACTATTTTTTGGTGTCCTGGAGACACTGAATCTAACGGTGCCCACCTCAACACTCAGTGATAAACATTCGCGACGCTATCAACGAAAGCGTACATCATCACATGTGGAGCCAAGAAGCTAAACATGTAAATATGGCTTACCTTGGTCAAAAGTGGTCTTCAATGGCATTAAAACGATAAAAAAACGATGCTGCAGTTAATCCATAGGTTCATCCTATGTGTCTGTGCCTTCTTTGAAATTATTTCTGATAATCCATAAGCAATACAACTGCGTTTTAGTTTCCAAACTCCAGAAGGAGACATTCCTCCAGTTTAGTTTCGCTTTCCACACGCGAAGCGGCAACATTTTTTCTTTACAATGTGTGTCTATGTGAGTCTCCTCCTTCGATTCTATTGGCTCTAACGGTCACAAGGGTATGTCAACCAACCAGATCGAGCAAGGGGGGCCAGAGATAGGTCAAATCCACCCAAATGACCCCAGATGGCCCAGTTTTTGGCTAAATCTCTCTAAAAAGGTCAAATTTCACTTGTTTTGCATCAATCTTGATACAGGGTACTTATTATATGTTGTACTTTGGATTCCTAAAGCTTTTAGTCTACTAACCCATCATCCAAGGGTAGTTTTCACTATCTGTAAAAAATAATTTTTGGACGGACACTATAATTTACAGTTTTTTACTATGTAAAATCTGAATTTTCTTTAAAATAAAAAACATTTATATTGATTCTGACACTTCTACATCCAACTCACAGGTTTATCATTACTTTGAGAAAAGATTATTAATTTAACCCTTTTAGAAGGGAAGATATGGTCATTTGTTCTGGGAATGTCATTTTCGAGCCTGAGACCTGAAAAACAGGCTCAGAGTGGAACAGGTTAAAGAAAGGCATCAGTAAAGTGGAACTTCTGTGTGAACTATTCATATCTTAAACTGCACTGTAACTTTTTATTCATGTCTTTTTTTGTCTTTTAATGTTTATTTTGTATCTTTGCTTTTTAATGACTGTTTTTAAATGCCTTTTTCTGAATGTCTTTCATTTTTGTAAAGCACCTTGAATTGCCTTGTGTTGAAAGGTGCTATATAAATAAACTTGCCTTGCCTTTAACATTAATCAAATGTAGGGATTTCAGTAGGAACACTAAAAAAACAGTATAACGGTAACCAAACAGCTGAGAGAATTATACTGTAAAGCTTTTACTCGATACGTTCCTGTAATATGTTTTACAGTAATGAACTGTTGCAGATTACAGTAGGTTCACTGTAGAAAAACAGATTAATGCTGGCAAACATAGCTGCCAGTAGTTTATGTAATTCAACGGGAATATGTGTTACAGTGTACATTAAAGTTGACTGAAACAGTCATAAAAGCCCCAGAGACCATTACAATCGAATACCTCACATGAAAATGGTAAATGTTTAAATATATCAGTTTCTGGTCTTTGTCATCTCCTAAATGCTTTTACATTCAGCATTTACTCTTTCACACACATTCATTCAGAGGCCTACAGAGTAGGGATGTGCATCTCCATCACTAAGGCCGATGCGATGCGCATCTCGATACGTTGCCAACGATACGATACGTTAACGATACATTTGAAACACTAGGCGATGCGATACGATACGATTCACCCCTGTTGCGATACAGTTCGATACGATTTGATTCAACATTATGCGATACGGGGCGATACGATGCGATTCAACACGATGCAAAATAATGATACTTCAATATGGTACGACAGAGGATTTTTGTTTTATTCCTTATATGCAGCAAATCATAGATTAACAAAAAAGTGCTTTACATATTTGGTTCTCTCTACTAGTACTGCGCATCCCATCATGCTGTTTCTTTGTTACCTTTTTTACCTTAAAAAACTCTCCAGAGTAAAGTACAATTGTATAACACCTCACAGTTAAACAATTTAAGGATGCATTGCCCATGATTAACAATGTGCAAATAACAACTACCATAGTGCAATGCCCATACAACTGCCAGCCTGATGTGCTTAACACTCATTCATATGCTAACTCACCAGTGAGCAGAAAGCAGTGGTGTGGTTTCTATATGAACAATAAAGAATACAAATAACCTTTCACAAACAGGTATTTCATAACTGCTTACAATTGTAAGGAAGACATTTAAACTATTATTGGCAGTCACAGGCTGTTGTAAAGTAAACACCACTCTCTCTGACATAACACCTCACTGAGTGATTTAACTCATATGTCTTACTTTCAGGTTTTTCTTTTCAGCTGCAGACCCCATGTCGCCTCTTTATGTGCGTCGCTAAGTTCCTAGTACTACTTTAAAGCGGCACGGCATCGTTTACAATTTGCGAGCGATTCTTCAAGTTGACCGTCTTTCTTGAAAAATCCGAAGTGTTGCCAAACGTTTGATTTGTAGGTATTTTTCGGTGCGCTGTGTTTCTCTTTCTCCTCGATTTCCATGTGTGTTGATAACTGAGACTCTCGGCCTCCGTAGTGCGAAGCAAAGATCAAAGATCGTCTCTGCTGAGTGCTGACAGGATGAGAGGATATTATATGAATGAATCGGTTTTTTACCGATGCAAAGACGCTACAATCGATGCATCGCGAGTTCAACCCAAACTGTAGCCGATGTGCACTCTTTCAACCGGTGCACTCGCATCTTGAACGTTTATGCCGGTGCACCGATGCGAATCGGTGAATCTTAACATCCCTACTACAGAGAGACACATTCATCCTTTGTTGACGATGCCATTAATGCAATTTGTTGTGAAGTATCTTTCCCATGAACACTTGGGTATGTTGACTGCACCATCGACCTTCCAATTGGTGGATAACTATTCCACTGAGCCACAATGGCCCCTAAACTAACAACTATCTTGCGATGGAATCACACCAGTCGCAGCAGAACTGGGCCAGGGCCAAGGATTTGTTTTACTTCCTACCATTTTAAGCAAACCTTCAGGTCCGTCAGAAATACTTGGGGGATGTAAAGCTTAGCAGTACAATTATTTCCCCAATTGTGATTAGTAAACAGGTATTTAACTTTAAATAACCCTTTCCAGGTTCTTCTGTGACCTGCCTTACATGCACACCCTTCCACAGTTGTGTCTAAACTATCAGCTCTGTATCTGGTTACTTCTCCATCACAAATACTTGATGTTCCCAGTACCTCCTGAGTGAGAGAGTTGATCCTCTGCTGCAGGTTGGTGGTCTCTGATTGGATCACACTGGTGTCGTTGATGAGGGGATCACAGGAACAGCACAGTAACCTCTCCTCCCCAAACTCACTGATTATAGGAAACTGAGAAGAAGAATGCATTGACTTATTATTAATGTCTTAAATGTAAAGTGTGTGTGTGTGTGTGTGTGTGTGTGTGTGTGTGTGTGTGTGTGTTGTGTTGATGTGTGGTGTGTGTGTGTGTGTGTGTGTTGTGTGGTGTGTGTGGTGTGTGTGTGTGGTGTGTGTTGTGGTGTGTGTGTGTGTGTGTGTGTTGTGTGTGTGTGTGTGTGTGTGTGTGTGTGTGTGTGTGTGTGGGTGTGTGTGTGTGTGTGTGTGTGTGTGTGTGTGTGTGTGTGTGTGTGTGTGTGGTGTGTGTGTGTTGTGTGTGTGTGTGTGGTTGTGTGTGTGTGTGTGTGTGTGTGTGTGTGCTGCTCTACACCTTGACCTCGTAGTGTTTGAGCTTCCTCTTGATGCTGCTGTTCTCCCTCTCCAGCTGGCCAAGCCGGGTTTGATATCATGATAGGCGGCAGCCAGGGCCAATCCTGACGCCGGGTACATGTCCTCTGGCATCCGATTGGCTGACCAGCTGATGCCGGGAATGCCCACGTCATCCCTCAGACCCTCTCCTCCTCCCAGCAGCCCCAGCTCTCCTCTGCGGAATAGATCCATCATCAGTTGGCTGTAGGAGAGGGAGAGAAAGAGTTAGAGATTACTTCTGTGAAATGTAGTGCAGTAAACACAGACTGGACTCAGAGAGAGACGGACAGAACAGGCAGTCACTTTGCAGTCTGCACTGCACGTGCACTAAATGGCAAACAACCTGTCCAGCCCCATGCCCTGGCAGAGGTGGCTGATAGTATGTGTGTGTATGTGTGTGTGTGGGGGGGGGGGTTCAACCTGCCCATTGAGCCTGCAAGCCAAAGGTTTGTTGTTTCCCATCTGCTGCACTTACTGTAAGTACATCCTCTTTTGCCTGCCGTGTCTCTCACTAGCAGTTTCCATGGTTACTGTGAAACATTTATTTAATTGAATAAAGTAGAATCACATAAATACCTGAAATAAGGTCTGTGGTTAACACAAGCTGAAGAGATTTTCATGTTCTGTTCTACAACATAAATACATCAGTAAATACCCCACTGGTGAATGTTGAAGCTTAATGTGTCAAAAAAACAGCGGTTGCTAACAAGTGGCTAATGAGACTATTGAACTTTAGTCGCCTTTAGCTTAGCGTGGGGATGCGGACGACCGTGTTTATAGCTTAACGTTAGATTTTAACTTCTGCCAATTGTATTTATGCTTCAAAAATCCTAAAGTGTTATTATGTGGAGATTATCCTGCTGAACAAAACGTGTAATGTGTAATATTCCAAAATCCAATTGCTTTTTGTCAGGGAGCTCTTGTGATTCTAACCCCTGGGTCGGCCTACAAAAAAACGTCATCACTGCACCTCTCTATGGAATTTCTTTTAGCTGTTAGCTCTGTTATTTTGCAGAGATGCTAACAACAAACATTGACCTGTTGTTCACAATGTAGCATTGTCATGGAGCCGTAGATAAAGAGTGTATCCAATTTGGTTGGATAAGTATAATCCTAATTTAGAATGTTGTTTAAATGAACTGTGCCTAATATGGATTTTCCACAAGAAAGTTGAATTACCTAATTAAGCTGCTAGTGAAGTCACAGATGTGTGTGTGGTGTTTTATAATCTATGTGTGTGACACAGAGGTCTTTAAAACGTTATTCAGCCTTTCGGCAGACCTCATGTAAAACAGGGTTCAGACACTGAGCCTGAGGAGATATGCGCTGCAGCGGAATAAGAGAAGCTCTGCGGATATTATTAATATGTCATACATTAGCATGGTTTCACAACAGCCATACATTTAATTTACAGCAGCCAACCACATATGCAGCACAAATCGCCCTACAAGATTTATGACTGGTTTTGAGGAGGACACACAACTTGGTTAAAATAACAATGTGGCTACGTGATTTCTTCTTGATTCCCGGTTTGTTTGGTCACATCTTTCCTTTGGAAGGCCCCGACACAACTTCATTATGTATTTTAGGTTGTTGAATAATCGGGAAATGTGCCCTGTGCATTTGACTCATCATTACTGTTCAGGAGCTATAGAGTGGTGCTATTGGGGAATCTTATGTGTTTTGTTATGTTTGTGCTGGAGCCGCTTCATCCAAAACAGCACTCCGGTTAGAGAGTTGACACGGAGACAGGAAGTACAGTCGTTGGACTTTATATTAGCTTGGTTCTGATCATCAACACAGAATACATCATGCTTGATGTGGAATCACATACAGGATGTTGAATGGGTTGATGAGTATGATGATAATGATAACGTAGAGTAGAGAATGAATGAATGGTTTCTGCAAAATACACAGAAATAGAAATAAGGTTCAAATTACAATAACTAACCAGACTATGGTTATTAATAATAAGCAACAGCAATACTAATTGTTGCTAAAACACATTAGACACGTTGCAAACACACACATGGCTAATAAAAGCTAAGTTAGCATCTCATCCACACTCTATCACTGAATAGCTTAAAGGGGACCTATCATGCAAAATGCACTTTTGTACGTCTTTTATACATGAATATGTGTCCCCGGTGTTCCAGGGAACTCACCAAGTGTCAGAAAACACAACCCTCTCTATTTTCCTCCATACCCAAATCTCTAAAAAAAGGGGCTGCAACGGATCTGATAAAAACTGATCCAGATTTGAACATTGTCCTGACGTCAGGACGGTGGCGCTACGGCTATTGAGCCAACTCCACCAATCAGGAGGAGACAGCCACGGCCATTGCCGTTCGAAAGCGCTGGAGACGCTGTAGTACATATGCCAGGCCTGTAAGTGGCGCTGTAGTCTGCCACAAAAGCAGTGAAGAAGACTTCCCGCCCATAGTTACCATGGTTACCTTTCGGTTTATTCTCCGCTGTGGCTTTTTTTCTCCCTCCCCGTGGCAAGCGTTTGCTCCCGCTGCAATGCAATCCCTCCCCGTCGAGGCAAGCACTGTATTTCTCTCCGGTTAGTCCACCAGCAGATGACAAACACCCACCTCTCCGCCTCTTCCAAGGAACGAGGGGACCGTGCGGCAGAGTTTCAGTTTCAGTTTGTTTCGCTGGTCAAGATGTCCGTTAAAGTTTAAATCTTCCGGACAAAATTAGAAAAGTGCCGGTCAAAGGTCTTCTTTGTTATTTATTAAGCTTTAAAACAAATGAATAACGACTCTATATAATAAAACACGGAGGACGGAGATCTCTTTTTCTCCCCCTCTTCTGACAGCCCAGCAGCTGATCAGAGCATGTCTCCCCTCTCCTGCAGGGGGGCGTGGTCAGCAGAATCAGACCCATAGACAGCAAACAGCACATAGAGCGAAATGAGGCATGGCTAAAATGCATGATCTGTTTGGTATTTTGAAAACAGAAACGTATAAATATACCTTATATAGGTATGGCCCTACAATATATCATTTAAATATAGCATGATGGGTCCACTTTAACTTAGCTAACTAGCTAGCATAAGCTCAATTCCTGAACAACATAGCAGCTGAAAACGGGACATCAATAGACTCATTAACACACTGACTCAGCAGGACACTATGCATACAATCTTATAACATTACCAACACTAAAGATCTGCATATATGCTCACATTCTTCATGAACGCATTCTCTCTGTGACGATGGTAATTATGCATGTGACGATGCGACCGCAATAATGTCCTGTCATGAACGCACATGTGTAACCAGCTTGAGGACCCGTAGCTGCACTACGTTAGCTGTCCCTAAATGTGCCTGACTAAAACACAAACGATATAACGCAGATCAAGGAAAACAAGGGGAATTTACAACAGCCGTCCCCAGAATAGCATAGCTATTATGTAAAACAGAATAAATTCCCTAAGGTGCAGCAGAAGTCCCTGGATCAGCATCGTCGTCCGGTAGAGCTGGTAGCTACACAAGGCGTGCCACGGGTCGCAGGTACGTCTTGTCCCCGACTTGAACCTCAGCCGACCGGATGCATCCATCAGCACTGGCATTCAGCTTGACGACCCTCCCCACTGGCCAGTGGGCACGTGGAAGCTGAGGATCAACTATCATCACGACAGTACCTTGGAGAAGACCATCAGTGTGCTGCCGACACTTCTGGCGAACTTGAAGGGATGGCAAGTAGCTTCTGATGAACTGCACCCAGAAGTGGTCAACCATCATTTGACAATGACGCCACCGCCTCTTGCTGAGGGTGTCTGTAGCGTATGATACTTGTTGAAGGGAGGCATCCCGCCGCCCCATCAGCAACATGCTTGGCGTCACAGGATCTGGATCTGCGAGGTCTGATGACACATAGCCTAAGGGTTTGGCATTTAAGATACCTTCCACCTCAACTAACAAGGTGAGGAGGAGTTCTCCCTGGAGAGACTGAGTGCCGATCACCACTTGTAGAGCCTTCTTGACTGATTGTATCTCACGCTCCCAGGCACCACCAAAGTGGGGAGATGCTGGAGGGTTAAAGCGAAACTTGATCTGTTTCCTGGCAAGTTCCTCTTGCAGTTGGGGCATCATTCCAGCAAACGCCTCCTCAAGCTCCCTAGCTGCTCCCCGGAAGTTTGTCCCCTGATCTGAGAGAATCTCGAAGGGGGTGCCTCGCCGAGCGATGAATCGCCTCAAGGCCAAGAGGAAAGCGTCTGCATCGATGCTATTAAGCAGATCTAGGTGGACACAGCGAGTGGTGAGAGATTTAAAGATGACTCCCCACCGTTTTTCACCGCGCCGCCCTACCTTGACAGTATATGGCCCAAAACAGTCGACCCCAGTAGAGAAGAATGGAGGCTTAAGGAGCCGCAGACGGGCAGAAGGCAAGTCGGCCATAATCGGTATCACTGGCTTCCCTTTCCACTTCCTGCATCCAATGCAAGTCCTCTGATGATGCTTGACGGCCTGTCTCCCACGCAGGACCCAGTACTGGCGCCTAGTCTCAGCAAAGACCCTGTCGGGCCCTGGATGGAGCAAGCGCTCGTCCATGTCCTTAATGAGGAGTTTTGTAACTGCATGGCTGGGATCGAGAACGATGGGGTGAATTTCCATAGCACAGGAAGTCTCCATGCGGCGAAATCTTCCACTGACGCGGATCAGACCCATTGCAGGATCAATCTCCGGTGAAAGCATACTGAGCTTACTGCCAGGTTTTACTGGTTTGCCAGCCTTGAGACACTCAATCTCCTCTTGGAAGCATTCTGCTTGGCTGCGCTGCAACAGGAGGCTTTCAGCGTCACGCAGGTCAGACTGAGGCAAGGAAGGGTCAGTTGCCGCCCCGTGAAGGAACTGCTTGGTTGCCTCGACCAAGTCTGTCCATGTGTTAAACTGTGTGACATCTGGTGTTGGAGGTACTGAACTGGTTCGCGTTAGGCCGCAGAAGGTAGCTCGTTTGTGCTCGTCAGTATCTTCGGGCTCTGTGGGGGCAGGAAGCGACGGCCATTGGTCAGACGGGCCACGTAGGAATGTTGGACCTTGAATCCACCGATTTGGTGCCGCCAGCTCAGCTACTGTCTTGCCACGGGTGAGGTCATCGGCTGGATTATTGGCTGTGTCAACATACCGCCAGGTGTGCTCGGCTGTCAATTCCTGGATCTCAGATACCCTGGTTCCCACGAAGAC